GAAATAGGCTCCAAGATGGAGTTGGTCAACCAATCATTTACCTAGTCTGTGACCCCATGGACCAGTCAAGCACTTCAGTGCCAGGGTTTTGACTGACTGCTCAGGGACTCCAGTAGCAATTGGGCTCAACAGCAACCTTGTAAGCATCCTATAATTTATGGTGTAGAAAATCAGGACATGGAAATGTCATAATATCATGAATAAAAATGATCTACTCTGTATTATATAACCAATTTCTATTTATACACTCTACTTAAACATATACGCAAACAACTGGACGTGAAGTGTAAGAAAATGGAGCAGGATATGGTGCCTCGTGCTCTGTTGTGTTGTGTGGGTGCAGACTGCAGCATTGACTGCAATGGGCACGTTACAGGAGAAGCAGCCGGACATTCGACACATAAAAACACACGTCAAACAGCGCACCTAGTGCAGCTCAGCCTTTATGACTGCAGCATTCCACGTCAAATTAAGGAGCTGAAATGATTCTTGTTTGCATACAGTATATGCTCTTAAAAGCAGCTGATGGAATTGGATCAATTAAACCACTGGTCACACCTCTTCAGCTGCCTTTGCCTTCAAAAGAAAACCTAGACGATGGCCCTACCCTGGTGTAGATCCAGACCCTAAACTCAAACCCAGTTGACTTCTACACATTTGTATCGTTGTACTCGGAATCCAAAAGAAAGGAAGTGATATTTAAGCTGGGGTACACACTATAAAGCTGGCTTTCCTTACATGTTTATCGTTATTCATGTGTTTTGTTTTTTCAATTCAATTCATTTTAATATAGTGCCTTTCACAACAAGGTTGCCCCAAGGCACTTAAAGCTGTCTGACAATACCAATCTGTCAAGTTCTATGAAATCGATCAGATTTTTCAAATCTATCAAGACCAAACATTCCAGCTACATAAGAAACCTTTCCTTCAGGTTAATGAAAATGGAAGTGGTGGGTGTTCAAACAATGTGCTCGCATCAATGCTGACAAACAACCCTACCTGTGAGGGAAAAGGTCCATCAGACCCTATCATTAATATAAATAACTCCTGATAAGGCTGTGGGCTACTAACATCACCAGCTGAGAAACACCAACAGGCCTCTTTCAGCTTGAGTGCAGAGCATTTATTCTCAATAGGTTTGTACTAGTAGTATTTGCTGCTCTCCACATTTCCTTTGTTCTTGTGCATTTCTCTTGGTTTAAACATTGACAGTTAAATCAATAATAAAATGATTTGCAACAGAACATTCAGACAAGCATTTCAGGCTCACAATGGCCTGCAGAGAGTACTGCACCACTTACTCAACACTTTCCACAGATCATACAAGGCTTTCAAGTCTTATCAAACTGAAATTAATCATTAAAATTAATCCTCCTCAGTGTTGCAGTGCTGCACCCAGGGAAAGAAAGCAAAGGCACATATATTATGAATAGATACAAATTAATGAGAATCAAACAGCTTTAGTACCAGTTCAGCAAGCGTCACAATGATTCTACAGACAATTTTGGAGAAGTACCAGCTTCACTGTATTAAATTTATACAAAGTCATCATCGATCAAAAAGATTCATACTGCTACACATGGTGTTTAGACCAAAAATCATGTCAGGTTTGAAATAATAAAATGATAAATCATGTTTAGCACAAAAAAAATTGGAATAAATATTGTTAGACCCTTTAAAACTCTTTACAGTTGATCGTGTAGAGACTGAAAGCATTTGCACTGATTTAAAGTCAGAAAGATTAAAATCATCACATTGTAATGCTCAGAGTTCATTGTGCCGGAGTCCAGTCCGTGTAATCTTGCTTGTCAAGTCCTGCAGGTGCTTCTTCATCTGAAACAAATGTACACATCATGAGTGACAGTCATAGCACAAACTGAACTAAAACTCATTTCACATGCATATTTCAGGAAATGCCACAGATATTCAACTTAAACGTCTTCATAAGAAAGAAAGGAAGCAAAGGAAAAAAACAGTAATTTAACCATTCTATTTCAAAATAGAAATGGTACCAAACAGATTAATAAATTGACTTAGTGTTGAAAAGGATAGAAACAACATACCTTATAGCCTATTTCTCGTGTTTTTTCAGATAACATGTCGTATTTGTCTTTATTCCTCTGTATGTGCTCCTTGTCTCCCAGTGCCTCCACATGCTTCAGTTTCTGATGTGACAACTCCAGCTGCTCTTGATAATGCTGGTGCTTCTCAACCTTTGTCTGAAAATGGCTCAGCTCCTCCTAGCACATATAGACCAAAGTTTATTTCAAATGAGAACTCAGCTACAATTCCTCTATAACTAGACATTATAGCTTCAGCATACACAAAAAAAATCATGTAGAGTACAAGACATTCCCAACACTGGTAAGTACACTTGCACTATGATTTAAGGATTGCCTGCAAAGTGTACAAGATGTACAAAAAGTATATCAGCACATTACCGTGCTGATGTGTCTGAAGGTACACATTTTAATAACAGTACATTAGTAATCAAGTGTTTTTAGTTCTCAATCACTGCTTTTAACAGGATTGTTTAGATTAGTGGTGCATAACATTTTCAATAGCTGCAGTACAGCAATTTTAATTCTTTTAAAAAACCCTTACTGCTCCAAAACCATGTCCAAATAAGTCAATATTCAGCCAATGAGGTAACTAAATAGAAGGTGAAAAGATACTAAATAATGATACTGAATTCCTGGATAAATATCTATTTAAAAATACACGTTTAATACCAACAGCAGCAAAAATATCTTATCCAAACGTAAAAACATAAAGATGGAGATTTTATGCAATGTAGGAATAAACATACTTTAAGTGTGTCAAGCTCATCTTCTGTGAAGTTTGCTCTTTTGGCCATGTCCCAAAGCTCAATGACTCTTGGTTCTTTAAATTCTGCAAGTATACATATATTAAAAAAAAAACATTTACCAACAATAAATGAAAAAAGTCTGACTCTGACAGCTCAAGACTTAAACCAGAATTCAGTTGATATTATCTAAGTTTGCATGTGTGTGCATGAGGGGGTTCTACAAAGTGTTTGTGATTAAATGTATTTTTTATATTTTCATTTATGATTCTATAAAGGATCAGAAGACCACAGAATCATGTTTACATGATAAAGCTAAGTGGCGTTTTAAATACTCACAGAATGATCAAATGTAAGGGAAATGACTTACCACTGTCTTCATTAAAACCTTGGTGACTAATCTTGCGCAGGCGTTCAAAACCTTGGTTGAGGTTCCTCATCTTCTCCTTAAGATCTGCATGCTTCTCGTGAAGAGCATGAGTTTTGACATCTGCTTCCACAGGGCTAATCACATTCTTGTGGATCTCTGAAACAATATTAAAAATTAATATTTGCACTTACACAGCTGACCTGTATCTTACAACAATTTAATGAAAGCTTCAGGATTACTTAATTTGATTAGGAGCACCAGTTTGCCAGCTTCTGTTTGATATAGGATAATTTGCCATTGAATGTCTTTAAAAATCTGGCATTCTAAATGTGAGTGAATATTTCTACTAAAATAACAGAATTGCCTTTTGCTAAAGTATATATCTGTACCCTAGTGTTAACTATAGGGAAAATATACTCTGCTACTCTGTATATACTCTGATTATGCACATGCTACATGCATATCCAGTAACATGGTTACTTTTGTTGCATTTTGTGCTGGATCTTCTTTTGTCTATGCATTAACTTTAAGTCAGGGACTTGAGATTACAAGAATTACCAGTCTCTGTTGATCACAAAATTGGGAAGAAACAGGGAAAAAGTATCAACATAATTACTTGACAGAAAAGCATTCTACATATAAAAAAAATAAAACAACACTTTAATGATGTGAAAAACTCTTATGAGTTGTTTTTAGAAAACTGGCACCTTCGGTTCTGCTGACAGCATCCATTACAATGTTGTATTCTTGGATTTTTTCTTGGTGGTGCTGAAATTCCCTTTGAAGATTCTTAAGTTCCTCCTCTGAGAATTTGCCTGAAGTTTTTGCCTGTGAAAATAAAATACACTGGTTCCTTTACTGTCTGGCTACTCAAAATGGGGAAAAAACATTGTGCCAAACACAGCTAATTCATGAACCATGTTACTTTCTTTTTAATTGATGGTGAAGTCAAAGGCATTATCTCCATAATTGACGCATAAACTTAAATTGAAATACTGGAGATAAAAAAAGGTTAGACAATCTTCGCACAACTTTTATTTCCGTAATTAACATTGATTTTAAAAGATCATATTAAAGTGACAGTCACTAAAATGACTACACAAGCATAGTATGCACTAATATGGATTAATCATATACTGTCCATCCCGTTTTTATTAAACAGTCAAGGAATTATGTTTGTTTTTAAGTATAATACCCTGCTTTCTTTATAGGAAATGCAATTAAACTGTGAGGAGGTTGATACCATGGCTTCATTCAAGAAAATGCTAGATGAGATCATCAGATCAACTAAACAGTCCACCACTCTTTCCAACCACCTCAGATGTCCTCTGATCTGTAGAAGTTAATTTCTCAGCCTTTAATGTTAGCCTTTAACAACCTTTGACCATACTGATCATTTTAAAACAGCAAACTACAGTCATTCTGCTGATGCAAAGGTTGTTTCTTCCTGGAACATGAACAAGAATTAGAAACTGGTTTCTTAGTTTCTCTTACAGGTGGTTTTCAATCATGCCAATGTCAGGCAGTGTATATTACTTAAGGATAAGGTTGTATGTTTTCCATTAATGAAAATTATATCTAATTAATTATAATTAATAGAAACTCTAATCAACTCACTTTATCTTTACAACACAACTTGACTACCTGTGCACCAGAAACAATGCTACACATCAACATAACTGTTCAATGTTTGCTACATTTTAAAGAATATTTGCCCAACAAGCTACTGATATAAAGCTTAAATACTGCAGCAGCCATATCACTCTGCAACTCACCACTGGCAACCCACTGAAGATCAGTAGGTGAGAGCCTGTTCAGTACCTGGATGGGAGATCTCCTGGGAAAAACTAAGGTTGCTGCTGAAAGAGGTGTAAGTGGGGCCAGCAAGGGGCCCTCACCCTGCAGTCCGTGTGGGTCCTAATGTCCCAGTATAGTGACGGGGACACTATACTGTAAACAGGTGCCGTCCTTCGGATGAGACGGAAAACCGAGGTCCTGACTCTCTGTGGTCATTAAAAATCCCAGGGCGTTTCTCGAAAAGAGTAGGGGTGTAACCCTGGCGTCCTGGCCAAATTTCCCATTGGCCCTTACCAATCATGGCCTCCTAATAATTCCCATCTATGAATTAGCTTCATTACTCTGCTCTCATCCCCACAGATAGCTGATGTGTGGTGAGCGTTCTGGCGCACTATGGCTGCACGTCCAGGTGGATGCTGCACATTGGTGGTGGTGGAGGGGATCCCCATTACCTGTAAAACGCTTTGAGTGGAGTGTCCAGAAAAGTGCTATATAAGTGTAAGCAATTATTATAATTAAAACTTGTCGACATAAGGCATCACTGTATGTTCGCATACCTTCATTTTGCACAGACCAAAAAAAAGTATTTCATTCAAGATGAAGGTTAACATTTAGCATTTTTAAAAATTCTCAAATCATTTGTCTCCTGTAGCTGAACTCTGGCATATAACTGAATAGAATGGTTTGATTTACAGTATGACAACTTAAGGCGCTTATTGAAGCGAATCCTCAGATTCACATGACCCACATACTGCTCCCACTGCACTTAAAAGTATACTTGCCAGCTCTTACATACCAGATCAATAATGGTAAAGCACAGCTCATTTCAGTTTATATCACATCCTCAGGCCATTGCTGAATTCAGCTTGCTGAGGCCGAGATACATTTACATCACTCAGAGCAAGTATTTACTGTGAATCTTTGTGTATTTGCTCCAAGTTTTGGCACTCACTCCTACACACTGTGCCCTTACATAGATAATGTGTATTGTCATGCAAGGATTAATGAGAGAACATTAGACATCTTCCTCACCTTGTTCCACAGTTTCTCCAATCGGGGATCATCAAATGTACCAGAATCTTTACTTTCATGGTCTTTTAGATAATTGGTTTCTATAGGCCTTGTGTCCTTTTTGCCATCGAGGCCATATGTGGCAAGAATTACTGCAAAACAAAAACTCAAGTAAACATGGGCAAAAAAAGAATTTTAGGCCTACAACTTGTCCGTTCCAAAGAATAATGCTTGATAAGGGTGAGCTCCAAACAGGAGACACCCTTTGTATTTGACTAAACCAGCAGAGCCCTGGATGTCTGCTGCACCATAAGCTGTTGAAGTTCTCCATTCAAGGAGATGGATCTTTCACTGCAGAGCTGGAATGAAACCCTGAACAGTGGCCTATAGGAACTGGACTTCTTGTCTCTGGCTTCAATAAAGCATAGGATTAACCTTCTTCTTGATCATGTTTATTTGTACAGTGCTCAAAGAATGAGTAATCATAGGAAATTTTAAGACAACACTAAATCTGCAAGACCATGAATTCTGAAACTCACTGTTGAAATTGCGCCTCAGCTTTGCTTCTTTTTCACCATCCTTATCGAGTCCCTCCGCCTTTAGTTTCTTCCACTGCAGCTCTTCCTTCTCCTGAATCTTAAGGTCACTGTGCAGCTCTGACTGCTTCACAGGAGGTAGCTGCATCTGATCCAGGAAAAAAAAGAAGAAACAATTGGGTTAATACAATGGAGATATAAGAGATCAATGGCTGAAGTTGTTGTCGTTAGTGTGGGCAGACCACAGGAATGTTCCTCCATATAACCAGTATAGAAATCGTTTTACGGCAATCACTGGTGTTTATTCCCCATTCGTCCTAGAGGTGCTAGACTCGTTTATAATTCATTAGTACAATAGGCCATAGCATGGCACTGATCTGAAATTGAATCAGAAAGGCTGAGTGACCTTTGTTGAAAGATTAAGGTGGTGCTTCTTAATTCTAGCCCTGGGTTATCCTTGTGCCTGCTAGTTTTTGCTCCAGCCTTCTTAGTCAGAGACTAAATAATGTTAATTCATTCTCTATTTAAGAACTTTTTGTATGTGAGACCTTTCAGGAAAGAAAAATAGAATGCTGAAAGCATTTAAACATCTGAAAGACTTGTGATCGACAGGAATCCTGTAATAATTAAAGGTTCAGGACTGTACTCATGCAGGTGTGCTAGCTGAAAAATAACCAGAGGAAAAAACACACAAACTATCACTGTGGGAGTCCCTGAAACGGTGTCGTTCACTCCTTTGTCTGTTGACCACCAATCGATCACCTACTTAGAGCTCTTTAGGCAGAAATAACAGAGCACATTCTTAATTAGCAAGCTGAGGAGAGACTGTATGCTGTCATTGTTGAAAATAGTGCACTTAAAGGTGTTTTTGAAACCAGATGCTGAGTGCAGAAAAAAAGTGTAAACCAGAAAGCAGATCAGTTACAGACATGAACTGTTGAATTCCAGTTGGAGGAAAAACCAGCAGACACAGGGGTCCTCCAGGACCAGGATTGAGAACCTGGACTAAGAGAGTTCATTAACTATGGTATGCTTTACCTCCTGATAGAGTATGGTGTTTGCGATGCAGTAATCTGTGGAGAAGATAGTGTTCAAGAAATTATCATCTATAACATGCATGCTGGGTGGCACAGTGGTGCAGTGGTAGTACTGCTGCATTGTAGCTCGGACCTGGGTGCTAACTATGTGGATTTTGTGTGTTCCCCCTTGTGTGGGTTTTCACCAGGTGCTCCGATTTCCTCCCACAGTCCAAAGCCATACTGGTGGGTTAATTGACTTCTGGGAAAACTGGTCCTATTGCGAGTGTATGCGTGCTTGTGTCCCATCCTCCATCTTGCACCCTTTGCTTGCCAGGATAGGCTTAACCTCCCTCATTACTCTGTATTGGATGCAGAGATTAGAAAACAGATGGATTGTCAACCTTTAAGGCTGGTAGCAAAACCTCCACTATCACCTCCAATACCACCATCTTCTTTCAATAAGACCTCAACGTCGATTTCATGCTTATTGTAGCACAGGTAAATGAGTGACACAAACAGGATTCATGGATCTTGTATGAGATCCAGTTGCTACTCAGAGTTGCTGGTATGCAGAATTATTCCATCAGACTGTACCCTCAAACCATACAATCCTATTACAAGGTCGATCACATATTTCCTGTCCGCTGGTAGCACTGCTGAAGTCGAATGATGGTGGATGAGTGTATCCTGAATCTCCCAACCTTTCAGTATGTAACTGCAAGCAACACTTTTCCTAGTGTCCCTCCTGTTTCACTAAACACTTTTTGTGCACGCACCGAAAACCTTTGTAAATAAAAACCTCCATGCGGACACGTTTTAAAATTGTTTTAGAAGTGCTACTGAGGTGTGGCCAAAAATGGAATGATTACCACCAAGAAGTATCTTTCTTTTGTACACCCTACGTAGAACGTATGCAGCTTAATGGTTATAATTTTGAGTATTTTACACTACTTTATATACTATAAATCCTGCAGCTCTCCATACTGTTTGTATTTATTTGGCTAACGTCACTACGTATAGGAATGAATAAAGGTTAATTCCATGCTGAAAAACAGCCTGTTAATGGCTTCAGCAGGCGTGACCTGAAGGCTAAACAGCTAAAACATTGCGTTCTTCCTGTTATTATCCTTTACTTGTTCCTCTGCAGCCAGCACATGCTGACATAGCTTCCCACTTAAGCATCTTAAAACATAAAGGCCTTGCTAACACAAGAACCTCAAATTGCCATTCTGAAACTCTGAAAGTTTAGTGTTCCAATCACCAACTTTAGGAATTGCTCAGCCTTTTAATATAAGGCTACATTCACCGTGTGATTACGAATGTCATTAGTGGATTCCCATTTCCTAAATACAATATTGGATATTGTCAGCTAAAAAATTAAAGTACAAAAAACCCAGGCACATCCTGGAAAGTGCAACTTTGATTTGGCTAGATCAACTGGGATTCAGAAGTCTTATTTTATTAATATGGTCCCACACATTCTATGATGCACCTAAAGCATACAATGTGTACTTGAGCTCTGCCACGACACACAAGAGTACATAGTGCTTTTCAGAACAAACCAACTTCTTGATTTTCCTCAACACAAATCTCTTTGTTGCAACAGGAACCAAAATCTATCAGTTACTATCGGCAAGTCCTGAAAAACCTGTGTATAGCTTGAAAAAGAAGAAGCATTTGTGTTCATGGCTTCCTATTTTTTTTTAAAGGAAGTCTCCTGGAGAACAATGTTCATTTAATTTTAACAGCACTCACTTGTGTGAGTTAATATTCACTTCCCCTTGTTAACGATTACTGCGAAAACTTTTACAACAGACTTGAACAAAGGATTCAGTCTTACCCAGGTAATTTAAGCTATAACACTTTTGGAAAAGGTGATTCTTCAAATGCTCTTTCGCACATTTTCTGAAACAGTCCCTTTCTTTTACGTAAAAGTGTTCAATTTAGAAAATTTTAAAGCAATGAAAAAAAAAAACGAAGACACCAAAATACTTTGAACAAACTATTTCAAACCGCACATGTGAAACAATTTGAGCTGCATCTGTTTTCTGTTTTATTGGGAGTAAATTAAGGGACCCAGAAAACCATCATCGACCCATTCTAAATTATTTTACTGAATGGTGTGATGTGTTCTATTAGCGGTTATATGTTTTACCCAAAGGATAGCAATGAAAGCAAATCTTATTATGCAGTAGTTCAGGTGGGTAGCTGCGTCAGCATGCGTAGGCTGCAAAGGAACAAGTAATAGGTTTATTCCATGTAAAAAAAGGTTGCTCACACCCGAAGAAGGCTCCACAGCCGAAACGTTGTGTTTTCTTTCTTCTTCTTTTTCCAGCATGGAATAAACCTCTTACTTGAAAGTATATTATGGTCTCCCACTCCCTCCACTGCAAATTCCCACTTCTGTCTGGGAGACGCCTCTGTGTCTTTCATCCCCACTGCAATATCTCTTTCAAACAAGGTATTCAAACCATCTTCTCCCTTATCTCGCTGCAACACTGTTTCAATGACTTCTTGGTCGTAAAAGTTTGTCAGGCTGTTTATTTATACAATAAAGCTTGGAGAAATTAATTAAGTCCCTCACAAAAAAAGCCATTCAGACATCTTTCTCCCGGCAATTTAAAATTACAACAATTTTGATGAATAATGTGATAATTCCACAACGTATTTGCCATGTGCTTTTGTAAACTCATAATACTTAAGGTACATAAAACAATTCATACAGTCTAAACATACACAGTCCAGTGTTTTTTTAATCAAGTATATGTTCCATAAAACACGTGCTTATTTCTCCATGTATAGCGTGAAACTTCTGCACAGAACATCCGACATTTTTTAATGTAGTTATTAAGAATTGAAAGCATCCAAAGTTTATACGACATATATTGCATTTATTAACAATACAATTTTTTCAATACCATCTGGGAAACAGAAGACTGTATTCAGTTGTACAGACACCAGACATACCAATGCAAACACATTATAGAAAACAGTCACATAGAATTAGTTAAACCTCACTGTCTGCACACGGCATCCTGTAAAACTTACCCGCAGTGCTTTCTCCCAAACCTGGTTTATTTTGGCGATTCTGAACTCCGGAGTGTTTTTACTATCAGTAGGTTTTGGCTCATTCATGTCTCTGGAATATTTACTTCCCAAAACGCCAATCCACAAATAGGAGATTAACATAAAAGTCACACTTGACATATTCATTTTCTTAAAAAATAACAACGGAAAATGCAATTTTAATACAATTGTAAGATTAGCACCTTACAAGTATCTCAGATTCACTTGGTTGTTTCACTAATGCTGCCCTGAGTTTAAAGGGAGCGGAATCCTGTGGCATTATGGGATATGCAGTTCATTTTAGCCAGAGCACATCGTTTAAACATACTGACTGATGCAGTGTTTATACTACATTTCCTATAATGCTCTACCATCTATTGTTTCCTGGTAACAGGGGTAGCAAAATGCTTGGAGCAAATGGGGAGCATCCACGCTCAACAAGATGAAAACGCAATAGTACTGTTACGTTTTAGTGACGTAGAAAAAGCACGTTTTTCTGATTTTTGAAAATATAAATCACAATGACAACCACCGAGACACAGATGCTAAAATAAAAATAATTGTATTTAAAATAATTTTCTCTACCAATAACTGAATGGCGCATGCAAGTTTAGTTAAAAACGTCAACTGTCTTTTTATGTGAGGAACTCAAAGCCCCCGAGATCATTGAAACCTACTATCGATTTTTGTAATATTTATTAAATATCTAATCTTTTAACTTAATATTGTAATGAATACGTTTTCTTAATTCTATTTTTTCTAATAATTGTTCTGACTTTTATAAGGCGATTTTTGTTGTTACTTCTGCTTACGTGTTAACCGTTGTAGTTTTTAAATAAAACGTTACTATTATAAGTAGTCTTATTTAATCGTGTCTTAATTTAAGATGATTAACATTCGTCATCTGAATCTGTTAAGTATGTTAATGTTTTATTAATACCTCAGGTTTACACCCGTTGACTACATTTTAGCACAATGGCCACGCTAATTAAAAAAGGCGAATACAATAAATGGTATTTTAGTTTCCATAGTTACAGAATCTTGTCAATTACATTTGTGTCAAGTTATGGCAACAAGAATATGTTTAAAAATTCCATACTTATATTTTTATTTGAAAGTGTTTTTCCCCTTGGCATTTTGATACAGAATTATTAACCAAGTGTCCTAGGTATCTGGGGATTTAAGCAACATTTCAAATGGAGAAAAAATCGGCGAAATATTTTATCGTCAACAGTTTGGAAACAAAAACTGATGAAGACAGAAAATCCAGACCTATGCCACCAGATGGATACAAAGTGGGAAAGCGGATTCTCCGTAGAACTGAACTGCGAGAGAGACGGCGCGCAGCTGCAGGTAGCTTTGCAGCGCAAACATCTTTGGTCTGTATTGCATTAATTATTAGGGCAGTCTAGTCCACAGTGTACAATTTGGGTGGTCTTTAGTTGCCTATCTTATGCACGAGGTATACGCAGATTTTTTTTTTTACATTTTAGAGTATAATAAAGTTTTCCAAGATCTATAACCTCAATGTAAAGTCAAAGTTCGAGATTGACTAGACCAGCAACAAACTATACTTGTGTGTACTTATCTGAACAGTCAAATTGTGGGTCTGATGTCAGTTTTATGACGTAGTTCAGAATATTCTCCTTTCATTGCCACGTTCAATATGTATGACATTTTATCATGTTCCACATGTGTTGTACTGTAGATTGTTACTGTAGATGTACTCCATATGGGAAAAGGGCTTTTGGGATGTTTATGTGTATCTTGTAATCAAATACTGCTAAATGTCCTTTAAAGATGAACTACTATATATATATAGTATAATATATAAGGCTATGAATGAAGCAATTTCATTTTCTAAACGTGCTGACAAGGCCCTCAAAGCTGACAGTGGAACAGGCTATGAATATTTGAATAGTTTGTGACTTTTACAATGGATAGTTTGAAATGCTGTTTCTGTGTTCACAAACTGTAGAACACAGTATTTACAGTATGATACAGTAAGAATGTATGCAGGTGGCCCTGTGGTACCATGGTTGGCATGTTCTCCCTGTGTTTGTGTAGGTTTTTGCCTGGTACTCTGGTTTATTCCCACAGTCCAAAGTGTGCTTAATTGGTAGGTTAATTGGTTTCTCGGAAACCTGGCCCTGGTCCTTGTGTGTCCTACGATGGATTGGTGTTCTGTTCAGGGTGTTCTGTTCTGATTTGTGCCTGTTGCTTGCTGGGATAGGCTCTAGCTTCCACGCAGCCCTAAACTGGAAGAAGCCATTAGAAAAGGGATGGCTGAATATATTCAAATTTGGAAGTGATTTATTTTTTGTCTATATCATTTACTTTTTCACATTGGATAGTACAGTGAACATATAAAACACATAATAGGTTTATTCCATGATGAAAAGAGAAGAAAGAAAACACAACATTTTGGCTGTGGAGCCTTCCTTGGGTGTAAGGCTCCACAGCCAAAACGTTGTGTTTTCTTCTCTTTTCAGCATGGAATAAACCTGTTACTTGTTCCTTTGCAGCCTACGCATGCAGATGCAGCTACCCACCTGAACGATATAAAACAGATATTGATTTTAGTCTAAGAAACCCCCATAACATAATGATTAACCACTTAGTTACCATCTTTTGGTTAAATGCCATGGCTTCAGGCAGGTGAAGTAGCCTGTGGCACAGAAAATCAAAGACAGGTCGTTCTAGCCTATAAGCATAGGAAAGGATGTCTTTGGACCCATTTGACTTATTTGGATGATAGTAGGGATCGGAGTATCACATCTTGCCTAATAAAAAAAAAGGCTAGAATTTCAGCTTCACCAATGTGGCTAAGTAACAAAACACCTTTGAAAAAAATCTCTTCAGTTCTGTTTCTAGCCACCTTCCTCCTACAGTAGTTTTGACATATACTGTTTTCATTTCATGGGTTTAGCAAAAAACAATGAATTGATTGTCATTTATATTTGTACAAATATAAATGAACTTTATTAAGCTGTTTGTCTATTTGTCGCTGCTAGATGTCGGTTCTACTGCTCCTTCGGCAGGGTTCTCACAATGAGTGAAATTGGATTTCTGCTACTTAGTGGCGAGAAAAGGCCATATTTCCTACCCATGATTCATAGTCCCCTATCTGTCTATCCTGCTTGTGCTGATGCTGACATCCTTTCAAAGACATCTACACCAGAAAGACATCACAATTTCAAATTCTATTTAGACCCAATTCACCCATTTTACGAATCTTTACCCCCTGTTCACTTCCTATCATGACTCACATTCTCTTTCTTTTGTCCCCATTACCCACCTCATGCCTCATATTCCTCATGTCTGACACACCCTAAAAAACTGCATAGCTGAAACCTTGTTTTTCTTTTTCTTTCATTTTATGTTCAACATTTGTGCCTTTGCAGCTTTCACCATGATGTAGCTCCCCTCTTTAACATTTGTATATACTGTATAAATCACAGTAGCCTGCATTCATATCTAAGGACTGCTGACTGCAGAAAGTAGACAGTTTAAGGCTCAGTTATTTTGTTGTATTGATTGTATACTGTATAGGCTCAAATCTCAAGGGGCTTAGGGATTTTTTATATTAAAACCATCCATTAAATTGTTTGCTGATCTCTACCGCGAATTAAGAAAACATTTTCTAGTTAGAGTTAACATCAACCTTCCAATGTTCATTTGTAATAAAGTAAAATCACATACCCATTGAACAACTTCATAGTTTATAATAGATACCATTTTTTATTTATTCTTTAATATTGGGAAGTAGCATTCAACATATAATCACCAACTGTTTTTTACATTGTTTGGGTGGCTTGTTATGTTTTGGGGACTTGATAAGAAGTCAATAAAATGCATAGCTGTTTAAATGTATTTAATAAAAGCTCTTACAGTTAAATTGAACAGAATTCGTAGTATTCAGTTGAAACTCTCATGAATACAAAGAATTGAAAATTCAAGTCCAGGAATTAGAATCTGTGGCTTTAGGTGATGCAAAATGGCAAGAAACATCACTGTTCGTTCTTGAAACCAATAACTGACAAGAGTCAGTGGACTTGTGGACAAGAATCAGTGGACTGTCCAAGACTGTGACCCACTCTCATGTAAGCACTTATATATAAAATCCATAAGTCTCATAATGAAGAAGACTGTAAACAAAACATTTACGGTATATGAAGTTCTTTACATTTCCATGCAGTTAACTTTCTGTTTGAAGCCATGAATGTGTCTTTCAGTAATTAGGGTTCCTGGTTTTGTGTTATTTTATTTAGCAAATTATACACTCTGGGAAGGACCTTGATTTGCTTGACCCAATTATTCAACCACAAAATTCTCCTCTGTTGAGTCAGCTATTACTCCTAACTAACAAGTTTAATTGCTCCACACTGCATGCCCTTTCTTTTTGAACAATCAGGTCAAGTAGTTTTTCAAAATCTTTGTGTAAAGCAAACAAGTCAGATTATAAATATTTATAAAGATGTAGTCATTGAATAACTTGAATAAAATAAGTCAAGGAAAAATATTGTATCCAAGATAAACCTCATAATTCACAAGGGACAGGGCTATTCTTTTTTCTTCATAGCTTGAATACATTTGTGCTTTCTGCACTAATTTTCTTTTAAATGAGGAAAAGCAACATGGAACCTATGTTCTCTCCAAGAACAATGGTAAGACAGTGGTAATATTGCAACATTGCTATTTTAGTGTTCAGTGTTCATAGAGACTGAAGATGATTTCCAGTTAACGTGTAGAGGAGACATAAGAAAAATAACTATTTATTGAAAGACTATTAAGTTAAAAATGAGCTTCTGCATTTTAAATTGGAAAGTTCTTGTCATTTCCTGTAATTTTTAAAATACTGTATGACACTTTGATACTGCCCACATACTCCAGGTTTCCCATGATAAAGCACTTTAATGTTTCTCTCTGTCATCATGAACAGGAATGTCTAATTCCCTACAAGAGTTTTGTACATTATATGTCCTTTCTTCCTATTCAGCCTCAACTCAGCTACCACCTGAAGAAAAACAAGTCACCACTCCATTAGAACTGAAATTACAGTTGAACTACAATTTAGCATCTGAGTCAATAGTAGTATGATACATTTATTGAATTGCTATTACCTTTAATCCTTTTCAAACCACTCCTGGGTGAAGATCTCCTCAAGGTTTCTGCTCATATTCATGTCTCCTTTGTATATTTATTGCTCATGCAAAACTCTTTTGACTTCCCATCTTCCACAGGGTCTGCATGTTTGCTTAATCTTTTCTCCTT